ATGTTTCTCTCCCTCTCTTTCTCCCTCCCTTCCCCTCTCTCTAAAAGTAAATAAAATCTTTTTTTAAAAAAAGGAAGAAAAACAAAAAACTTTAATAACATGTATGTTTCCTGTATACATGGGAGAGACCCAGGGAAACTGAGTAACAGCCAAATGGTGGAAGCCACCACCTTCAATACCACCTTCAGCTGAAGACAAAAGATGTTGGGGGTGGGGGGAGTCAGTTCTGGGGGTCACCAGGAGAGGCACAGCAGACCAGAGTAGTGTAGCTCTGCAGACTGAAGTCTTCTGCACGGATAAGAGTTCCTAGAGATAAGGTCATCCCCTCTTCCCGGTACTAATGGAGATTTCCCTTACAAATAACTGTAAATGTATTTTATAAAGAGTAACTTCTGTTTGGCTTTCAGAGCTTCTCCCATGTTTGCTGTTTCTTAAAATTAGTCAGCTTAAAATGATCCTTATGCTAGATAGACACATTCGGGGGTGACAGACTCTTCCCCCGCAGCTCCTAGGCTGCAAACCTGTACGGTGTGTTACTGTCCTGACTACCGCGGCATTTGTAACACCCTGGTATTTGTGTGATTACAAGGGCTACAATGTCACCAGGCGATAAGGAATTCTTTAGTTTCATCATAATCTTACGGGACTGTGTTGCGTAGGGGTCTGTTGTTGACTGAAGCATGACTGCGTTGCGTAGGGACCAGGGACCCCCAGTAGCTCTTCGCCCCTCACCGTGCCTTTGAGTTAGTCGGGAGCTGATGGGTGAATGGGGAGAGAAGAAGGGAGAAAACAAAGCTGGGGTATTTTAAGCCTTCGAATTCTTATTGTTTGTTCACTTTTACCCCCATCCTGTAACAAAAATATCTTTTACTTACATGGTCTGTGTTGCCTTCTGATCTTATCACTGGTAAGAGTAGCTGGTATTTATTGAGTGCTTGCTGTGCACCAGGCACTAAGCCTGGTGCTTTCTTTATACGTTTTCTTGTGTCATTTTCAGCCAGCACGCGAGGCAGTACCATTGTTGCCCCCATTCTGCAGATAAGGAGACTGAGGCTCCAAGCTGCCTAAAGTTTAACCCCTGGTCTTTTCCCTGGGTGCTCCGTTTGCATCCCACCCGTCTCGGCTGACGGGAACGCCCAGCTTCCGTCGCTCAGCCCACACCGCGGGGAGTCACCGTCACAGGTCCCTCATCTCGCCTCCATGCAGAGCTCACCGGCCCTCTGACGCCCTGCCCCCTCGGTGCCCACTGCCACTGCCTGCCTCCTCCTGCTCCTGCTCTCGCCCCCTCTGTTCTTGAGTCGGGGGCCCTGCTCCAACCCAAGTCAGAGCAGGCCTCAGCAGCTGCCCCTTCTCAGAGGTTGAGGTCGGGGCCTCACGGAGGCCTCCGTGGCCCCCTGTTGCCCTCTCCCCTCGCTCGCTTCCCTCCGGCTTCCCCCGCGGCCTTTCTTGCTCTCCCTCCCACACACCCCGCGGGCCCCAGCCAGGGCCTCTGTCCAGTGCTGCTCCGGGCTCCCCACAGCTCGCTCCCTCGCCTTCTCGTCTTTGCACAGGAAGGCCCACCCCGACCGCCCCGCACTCCTGTCCCCCGCAACCTGGCTGTTTTTTATCCAGCACCGATCGCCTCCTTCCCTACCGTATCATTTACCCATTGACTATTTTTTCTGCTGTTTTGTCTGCTGTCCCTCTTCACTGCAATGTGTGTAGGGATGTTTGACTGATATATGCCAATACACAGAGTAGGTGCTCCATAAACTCGCTGATTAAATGGGTACATGGGCCATATGGCTGGTAAGTGGCATCACGAGGATGCCAGCGTTTCACCTTCACTTACGTTGACCCTTCGTCCCAGAGTGGCCCCCCTCACCACCCCATCCAGTGCACGGTGTCTCCCAGAAGTGCCCTAGCCAGATCTGGTCAGCCACCACGCTGTGGCTGTCTCCGCAGATAGTCACAGTGGTACTGACTATCCGAAGGACACATCTGCTCTGCCTTCCGGGCCGTGGGCTTCTCCGTGGCCCGTGAGCCCGGGCCTAGTCCCGCCTGCCCTCGGGGCCTTCACCCACAGCCCGAGCAGCTCTCCTGCCAGCCTCCCCACCGCCCCGCTTCCCTCAGCCATGTGGCAGTCCTGGCTGTTATTACGCTGTTGCCATCCCACAGTCCCACCTGCCAAAGTGTCCCAAACCCAAACCCAACCCCCACCCTGTCCTCACCGTCCCCTCCCCGTCACCCCCAGCCCAAACCCTGGCTCTAACCGGGCCCACGGGGCCTCCCCTTTGGCTCTGCCCCAGTCTCTTCTCCACGCTGCAGCCTCACTGGCCTTCGAAAGCTCAGATCCTCCCTGACCCCCGCTGGGGACGCCCGCCCTCACCTCTCTCAGAGCCACCTGGTCCAGTGCTTGCTCCCGAGACCTCAGCGTGCCTTCCTCTTCTTCCAGTGTCCCCAAAGGCCCAGTCTCTTCATGACCTTTACACACATGCACCCCTGAGCACAGATGTGGCCCCCAGCCCAGCTGTTCCATATCCTTCAGGGACAAGCGCAGAAGTTTGTGTCACTTATTAGTGTCTGAGGAGGCATTGCCCAGGTGTGACGTGGTTGACGTCTGTCTCCCCCACTCACTGGGAGCCAGCCGTTCAGCACTGCGGGCCCTAACTGTGTTACTCACCTGTGCGTCTTCAGTGCCCAGCGCAGGGCCTGAGCATTAAGAGGTGCTCAGTCATCGTTTGTTCAGACGTCGGTTCCTGGTGCCTGTAATGCCCTTGCCCTTGTTCTCTACCAGCGAACTCCTATTCATCCTTCAAGACCCAGATCCGTGTCTTGTCCCCAGAGCACCCTGCAGCGAGTCCCCCCTTGCAGAGCTTTGCACAGCCCCTTACTCTGCCACCTCCTACACTGGGTCACGGTTTTCTCCTCCTGCCTCCGAGCTGCCTGGGGAGGCGCTGGCCCTGCACGTGGCATGCGGTTGGCACTCCGGAAGGGTTTGTGTCCTAACCTGACGTACCTTGTGACATGCTGTCTGTGTTGTTTCCTGTTCACCTTGTGTAGTTTGGTTCCCTCAGCCATTCGGCCACCTCCTGCAAGGCCCCGCTTTGGCAGCCCTGCTCCCTGAGCTGACACGGGGCTGTGTACACAGGAATCCTTCCTGCGTCCATGTCATGTCTGCTTCAGGCCGCAAGGCCCTTGGCATTCTGAGGGCACTTTGACATCGTCCTTCTCATTCTAGGTCAGCCATGTAATTTGTGGCGCCCAGTGCAGGGCCCCTTGTTCAAAAATTATTAGCAATTTCAACAAAGTGACACAGACCTTTAAACCCAGGTGCGAGGCCCTTCTCGGCACACAGACCTCACGCCCCTGAAGCCAGCCCCGACCCCGTGCGTCCGAGGGAAGGCACGGTAGAGTTCATGATCTCCTCTCCGCGGGTGGCAGAGTGCAGGGCCCGAGGGCCACAACCAACTCAGGTCGTGCAGCCTGTCAGCGACAGCAGAACCCAACGTAGGGCCCAGCCCCCGAGCCCGTGTGCTGTCTTGCTCTGGCTCTGGGGACGGGGGGCTTCAAGTCTCAGTTTCCTCCTCTATAAAATGACACAGAGGACAGCTGGCCGTGAGTCCCCAGAGCGGGAACACCCCAGCCTCCCTTTGACACCTTCCCCTCAAAGTCACGAAAACAAAGTTCCTCTCTGCTCCTTGGAAGGGCCTGAGCTGCAGGCAGTAGGAGGCTAATTGGCTGCTGTGGTGGGTGAAGAAGTTAAAGCCCCTCAGAAGTAGGAAAAGGTTGTCTCTTTTCATCTCGTTTTGAAGGAACGTGGGGACTCGGGTGGAGCGTTCCCCAGGGGCCCTCGGTATTTGGGTGTTATGATATCTAGAGGAATAAAAGAGCAATTAATCACTACAAACGTCAGTTCCCACAGGGGCAGTCTGGGCGGGGAGGGGTGGCGGTGGCGCGTGGCGGCTCATCCATTCCAGGGCCGTTGTTGGTGGAAGGGACACGCAAAACAGACACCCAGAGGACAGAGCCACGTCCGCCTGTAGGGGAGGCTTTTGAAATCTTATGTTTTATGGCAAACACGCCTTCCGCGGCCCCTTGGGTGGGCGAGCCGCCTTCTTCGCAGGAATTGTGGGAGACAAAGCGTTTCAACGCCCCCTCAGTGCTGCACCTCCCTCAGAACAGGTTTCTCAAGGTATTGCCCTCCGACCCCTGTCCTCATTGCAGGGCTGAGCCGGGAGGCCGCCTCCAGCTCTGAGGTCTGTGTGCCACAGCTGAGGAGAGGGCCAGGCAGCAGCCAGTGGGCAGGCCTCCCTGGCGACCCCTGTCTGCCTGCCCCGTGTCCCCCACCTGTGCCCCCCCCCATGCTTCTGGTAAATCGACCTGCAAAGGGCCCGAGCGAGGCGGTTGTGTCGGGGAGGCAAAAGACAGGAAGACAGCCTTTCCCGATTCCTGGAAGAGGCGTGTTCGGCACAAGCAGACCTGCGGCCAGGCCAGCAGGTTGTAAGTTGCCTGCATTTGTGTTGTGTGTGTGTGTGAGTTTACGTTTACATACACCAAGCGCGCAGTACAGCATGCACGTCTGAGCGCAGAGGGGGAAGGCGCCCAGGTCCCTGTGCCTCCCCTGTTAGGTTTGGTGGGCACGCCTGCTCGTGCAGGTGGGGAACGCGCCCGTCCACCATCCCGGAGTGATTCACTGTGCTCCACGCCGGCCCCCGGCGCAGCTCCTGGCTGGTCTTGGTGACTAACCCGGCGGGAGGAGGGTGTGTGGTGACCTGCTTGGACCGGAAATGACAGGCGAGCACAGCTGCAGTCCGCACCTTACCCCAGAGGTGTTGCTGCAGGTTTCCCGGGCTGGCCAGACACACAGGTATTTCTGGACTGTGGCAGAGCCCGTTGCCGGAGCGCCCGGCCCGCAGTCCTGTATCTGTCAGCACGGGCGTGTGCTCCGGGCGGGCTCCGGCAGCGGGCGGGCGGGCGCTCCTGGCTCCTCCCATGACCCGTGCTCCGTGTTTCCACAGGGCCGCACCTTCCTATTTCTTCCCGCCACAGCCTGCCTGTCACAGTTGAGCACCTGTTTGCCTGAAGTTAATTTCCAGAAGCAGGTAAGGACCCCAGCGGAACGGTGTCTGACGATGCCGCCATGGATCAGTGTTGGGGAGGGGGCCCTGGGTTCAGGCTCAAGGGCTGACCGAGAGGCTAGTGCCTCCCCATCACCCCTAATGATGCCCATTTCTGCAGATGGGTGGCTTCCTAGGGTGAATGCAGTGGTAGTACGGCTGGTTGCTTTTAGTCTGTTAAGATGTGTGCTGTCTCTGAATTAATATGTTATAGAAGCTCTATGAATAGCACAATTATATGGCATTATATTTGTATGCAGTGTAAATATTGTACAAATGAAAATGTACATTTTAAAAATGTGAGCATTTAAAATATATTGCATTTTTTAAAAAGGGGCAAAACGAAAGACAAGTGTTGGGACCCACGGGGCAAACGTGGCTTGTGCATCTGAAGGACCCCCTGCTGTCTGGCCCAGCCTGAGATTACTCAGTGTTTTCCAAGCAGATCCAGGAACACCGTGGGTATAAATGTATATTTCAACTTATATAAAATGTGGGTGTTCAAACAGCATTAGCTCCATTTTATAAATAAAAGCGAGTGTGGGTGGCTGTGTTTGCGTTCAGGGCCACACGTGCCTGTCAAAGGGAAGCCAGCCCCTGACACCACTCATCGGAAGGGGTCGAGGGCCACGCTGTGCGTTCAGCGACCCTGCTTGCCCCGCCCCGCCCCATTCCGCTCTAGTGAGATCTGTGGCTCGGAGCTGGCCTTGTGCTGGTAGAGATGGGGTCCCCACAGAGACTGGGCAGGGTGCCCCCCAGGGAAGGCAGTGTGGCCTCGCAGGCCACGGGTCCCATTCATCACTTCGGATCCTTCCCAGTGGTTATGTGCCCCCTCCTCACTGTCTGTGACCAGCCGTCCTTCCTTCAGCAGAGGTGCGGGCTCAGAGCAAACAGGAGTGTGTGTGTGGCGGGGTGGGGGTGGGGGCGGGATATGCCTGTGTGTCTGCAATGAAAGTATGTACCTCGGTTTTTCTTAATTGCATTTGTCCTAATCAGATGTAATTTTCTGGAATCACCTCCCCTTTTATCTACAGCAAGAAACATAGCCTCAGGCCTGTCCTGTACTATTCATTTGGATAGTTGATAATCGTTTCTTTCCATTTTCTATTCTTTAGCTCATTCATGCTTTTCCCTAGTTACCTGCCAGAATGTTATCTCTTAAGAGAGGGAGCAAGTTTGTCTCTGACTTGGGCAGTTGACACAGATTTTTCTGGGATTTAGAGTGGAAATGCCACCACATTAGATGATGGACGTTTGAGAAGCATCATTACCTTTGGCCCTAACAGCCAAGGACAGAATGAATAATTGGTGCGTTTAAATTAGTTGCAGTTTGGACTAAGGTAATTTAAACACATTTTAATGGAGACAAGCTCTTGATCCCTACAGGGCAGAGTAAGAACTCTCAAATGAAGTTAATCTGACACTTGTCAGAATTGTGATGAAAATTTAATAGCATTGCTTAGATAGGCACCAAATCCCAACATGCTCAGATATCCTTGGAGCACACCAGTGACTGAAATGCCTGTTGTCTGGGTTATTATGATCTCGTCTCTTCAATTATCCGTTTTTTTCACTCTGACACCCTTCATGCCAATTCTGTTGAGAACTGATGTAAACCAGCCACACAGGTCCAGTCCACTGAGATGGGAGCGTGAGGGACAGAAGGTGTGTGCAGTGGCCATGTGCTGCCCCAGCCCCTGCCTGGGCGTACCCTGCCCCGCCTCCCCCGTCCCTTCAGGAGGCAGGGAGGCGTTGGCTCCTTGGGAGCTGGAAGAACCCCAGAAGATCACACTTTATAGAACTAACTGACAAGGATCTTCCCCGAAGCAAGGAGACACAGAGAAGAACCAGTCTCTGCGGGAAAGTGTGCTCACGTGGGAATAGCCTGGCCTCCGAGACGCTCTCTGGCACCCACAACCCTGCGCCCCGCCCCCCCGCCCCCCGCCCGCTTGGTAACAGCACCCCAGAGCAGGAGGTTCCTGGGACAGGCTGCAGTGGGGGAAGACCACAGAACGACGCTGCTCTGTGCAGGGCCCTGGGGCAGGCTGTTGCATGGGGCGAAATTCTGAAAAACAGACCACGTGTAAAATGATTCGTGGGCGTGTGCACGCACACCCAGCCCTGTGGCCCTGAGCCTGCTTTCCTGGCGGGCAAGCTTGGCTCTCAGGAGCCACTGTGAAGCCAGGCCCCCGGGCTCCCCGGGGTGGGCGGCGCCCGGGAGAGTTGGGTTCCCGAATGAGTGACTGACCAGGTCCTGCTCTGGGGCCTGGGACGCGGGTGTGATTTGCAGCAGTCGGATCAGCCTAAGGGCTTGAGCCAGACGGGCCCGTTGCGGGTGGGGAGCGGGCGGCTCTGGCATGTTGGTTCTTTAGTGTGTAGCGACATCTAGTGGCTGGTCACTGTCACAAGGGGAGAGTATACCGGACACAGGACAGAACTGGAGATTTTACTCCTGGAAGCCCCCGCTCCAGTTTAGAGGCTTCCTGGAGCCTTTCAGGTGTCCTCTGGGGAACGCGGTAGCCCACAGCACACAAACCGCTCAGGGACAGGAGTCCTTTGGAAAAGTTCAGCCTGGTTCTGGAAGGTGGATTAGGCACTTTGGTCTCTTTCAACACGATGACATTTGGCCTTAAATTGGTGTGGATGTTGTAGGGATGAAGCCACAGTCTAGGCTCCATACTGCACTCAGCCAGCCGACTGTCTTCTTCAGCACCTGCCAGGCACCGGGCCAGGCTGCAGCAGGACGCGGCGAGCAAAGCACAGGGTGCTGGCCCTCCTGTCCCTCAGGGAAGAGACAAAAGTGAGCACCTTGACATGGTGCTTTCAGAAAATTGGGACAAGACAGGGCGGCGTGACTGAGAGGGCTGGGGTGGGGGTGGCGTAGGCGCCACTGTGGCTGGGCCGCCAGGAAAGGCTTCCTGGGAAGGCGTCTTCGAGTGGGACGAAGGGTGAGGCGGATCCAGTCCAGCCTCAGGGGGCACTCGGTGCAAAGGCTGCTGGGGAAAAAAGCTTCTCGGCATGTTCTAGAAGCAGATGGGGGCCAGGAAGGCAGAGTGGCAAGGGGAGGAGGGAGGTGAGGGAAGCAGGGCGACCGTGCGGCCCCGTGGGGTCCTGTGGGGTCCTGGCGAGACCGTGCGATGCCGAGCGAAGCGGGGAGCGGGGCCACATGTCCTGGCTTTTTGTGGAGGTCATTCGGGTGGGCTGGTGGGGTGGGAGGCAGCGAGACAGGGTCAACGTGGGAAGTGAAAGCCCAGAACCAAGCTTTCCCACGCAGCTGTGCCAGGAAGCCAGGGTCGTCACCTGCACCGTGCACACCCGGCGCTGGTGGCAGGGCTGCCTCTCGTCCAAGACCGGCCTCGAGACACCTTACCCTCTTGCCCCGGTACCAGTTGCTAGGTACCTCCCCCTTTCTGCGCCCGGAGGAGGGGAAGAGGGTAGGCAGTAGGCGAGGGAGCCTGGGTCTCCAGTAGTAGAAGCGAAGGCCCTGAAAAGGGACCATGTCACATCAAGGACATGGCTGCTACTGAAGCCCCAACTTGCCAGCTTTTTGGCCTATTGCGTGGGCTTTTCAGGCCAGGGCCTCTGTTAGGCTGCGGGGCCTGAGCAGTTGACAGGAGACCAACAGGAAGGCTGCTGTTCAGGGCTGCGGCGTGTTCCTGAGGCCACCCTTTGCACAGAGAGCCGCCCCCCCCCCCACCGCCCAGGAGGGAGAGCCTGCTGGTCCAGGGCTTACTGGCCCCCAAGGGATGGACGGTGTGAGGAGTGTTCTTGGCCCACCCGCCCAGTTCCCTTGGTCCTCCGAGCGCAGCTCCTTGGCACCGGGGCTGCCAAGTCTCCGCCCCCACCAGCTGCTGCGTTATTTCTGACTCATCCAGGAGTTACAAATATGTAATCTAAATCCCTCCACGCCTGGCTTCCTCTCCACCGGCTCCTCCCGGAGGGGAAACCCTGGGACGTCTCTCCTGGGACCTTTCTGCAGGTGGGGTCCCCAATGCGCGGGGACACAGCCGCTGCTGGCTGGTGCTGCCCTCGGACGGGTGGGGTATGCCTGCGGAGCGGCAGCTGTGAGTTTGGGGGTGCCCGTGCCCCGCAGCCCTGGGACCGCCTGTCCCCCTCGAGGGACTCCTTGGAGCCCAGCCCGGGAGCTGGCCTCCTGAACTCGTCAGGGGCTTGGCCGAGGGCGCTGCCTCGGGCTTTGGGGGCTGGGTGCTGATCTCACAGTTTCTCCAGCAAAGGCTCCAGCCAGCTGCCTCTGATCACACCACTTCTGCTCCTTGTGAGAGTTGCTTGCTTTGAAAATCTGGGACACTTTGGGGTCATGCAGCACATCTCCTGTGGCTCCTAGCAGGAGCCTTGCTGAGGGGAGGCCGGAAGGCAGAGCTGGCCAGGGGTCCGGGTCAGCTCAGCCTCCCCGGGCCTGACAGCTCTTCACACAGAGCTGCTGCTCTAGGTCCAGCCTCTCAGCCTGGTTGGGGCGTGTGGCGGGGAGGGGGAGCAGGCGCCTCAGCACCAGCTCTGGGCTCTCAGAAACGAGGCCCTGCAGCACAGCGGGCTGCCTGACGACCCCGCCAAGCCCCGTGTCTGTCTCTGCGCCTTGCCCCATGCGCCGCTCATGCCTCTCCTCGCCCCGCAGGAGTCCCAGAGCTGGCCGGGGATGAACCGTGAGGGGGCTCCCGGCAAGAGTCCGGAGGAGATGTACATCCAGCAGAAGGTCCGGGTGCTGCTCATGCTGAGGAAGATGGGATCAAACGTGAGTGTCGAGCCCCAGCCCCCGGTGGGCAGCGCTGAGGCTGCAGCCACTGCCCGCAGCAGCTGCTGTGGTTGGGGAAGGGATGCTGAGCCCGGGGTTTGGCTCTGAGGCTGGTTTGTGGGGCACGGGGTTCTGTATGTAAGTCCCGGGGGCTCTGCGGGGGCAGTCTTCCCACCTCTGGGCCGCGTGGGGCCTGGTGGGTAAGGGTTCTAATGCCTGACCGTCCCTTCCTCCGCCCTCCCAGCCGAGTCTTCTCTCCCAGGGAGTGTCCGAGGGACACTGCGCAGGATGGGCACCGGGAGGGCAGCAGGGGAGTTTCCCCAAGCAGGGCGTGCGTCTCCTTACCGGCCCTGTACCACCCTAGAGCCCAGCCTCAAGTCTGCTCTGAGTGGCAAGGCCCCGTAGACTGTTTCAGGGGTGGAAGAGTGCTCATTCCGTGACTTAGGGGTCATCTCCAGGGAGCAAAGGAGGAGGCACCCCTTGGGGATCCAGCAGGCCTTGGCGGGTGCCTCTGGGAGCATTGGGCTGCCCCTCACCTGCAGCCTCTCGCCCTTGCAGCTGACGGCCAGCGAGGAGGAGTTCCTGCGCACCTACGCGGGGGTCGTCAACAGCCAGCTCAGCCAGCTGCCGCAGCACTCCATCGACCAGGGTGAGTGCCCCGCGGGCAGCCGGCCACACCCTCCCGGGAGCACCCATCAGGGTTCCTTTGGAAAGCACAGCCGCAGTCCTCCTGGATGGGGGTCCACGAGAGACAGGGAGGGGCCTCAGCTCCCTCCCACCCCCCAGAGCGGCTGCATCAAGCCAGGGGCCCTGGAAGCCTCCCACCTGGTCTCAGCCTGGCGGGGTCCCTCTCCAGGCTGGGGGGAGGCCAGAGTGCAGGAGTCTGGAGACCTTGTCACTGCCGGGGCCCTGATGGTGGCATTCCTCAGCCCGCACCCTGGCCCTGCCCACCCAGACCCTGTCCAGGGCTAGTGAACCTGCCCTTGTGAGCTAGGCATGGCCTGGGGGCAGGCACCAGTGGCGGGGGTGTTCCTGGCTGTGCCCAGAGGGGAGGCTTCTTTGTGCCCTTGGGAGTTATTTCTTTCTTGGGTGTCCCCACCCAATCATAGTAGTGGCAGAGGGTGACGTTTGCATATACTATCTAGTGCGCGTGTGCTAAGTGCTCGATACATTTCATTTAATTGTAGGTAGCCACTGTTTGTATTACTTTCACTTAACCGGCAAGGAAACCGGGGTTCAGTCACAACAAGTTGCTGCCCTTGGTCATGCAACCCGTCACCAGGGGGTCCACGGCGCCACCCTGCAGCCGGATTCTGGGCCCAGCTCCTGGGTTCATCGCTGTCTGTTCTGGAGCCGCAGGAGGCTGCTAGGGATCCTCCTTTACGGAAGGCTTGTCTGGACCCTCTACCCAGCTTCCTGGCCAGCATCTCCTTCTAGTTGCTTTTTCTTGTTCTTATTGTGCTTAGTTTGAATCACTGGCCAAGAAATAGCGTGGGCATGTCCACTGGGCGGGGGCTGCATAGGCAGAATGCTGAGGGGTGTGTGTGCCCATCCTTGAGGCCAAGGGAAGGAGCAGGTCTGGCACACGGGGCTGCTTGTCTTGAAGTTGCCCTTGTTCTCCTGGATGTCACAGGGCTCTGCCCTGGCGCGGGGCCCAGTTCCCAAGCTCTGACGCTGGGTGTGACCGGGCCTGTGCACCTAACTCAGCAGAAACGTACAGGACGTCCCAGCGTCTCAGCAGCCCTCGCCATGGGGCAGCCTGTTCTGTGCCGATTGCACTGCGGGCGGAGCTGGGAAGGAGACCAGGGCAGTGCAGCCGGCCCCTTCCCCTCCTGGGATGTTTCCCGGGGGCACGCTGCTTGTCCAGGTTGACCTGATTTCTAGCTCAGGCCCCTCTCCCCAGCTGCTGAACCATCTCGACCCGAAACCCTCATGGCTCTGAGTCCTTGGGACCTTGCCTTTCTTCCTGCCCTGGTCTGGGGTCACTGAATTAACCTGAATTTGAGCTAGGGGGGCAGGGGGATAAGAACGCCTCTAGTAGAATGCTTGTAATGCAAAAATCAAAATAAGCTGTAGGACCGTATGTCAGCTTAGAAAACAAACAGATGCCCCTCTCCCGACATTCACGCATTTATGTGTATAGGGGGAAAAAAAGCTGAAAGGAAACACACCAGGCTGTTAATAGGAAATTTTGATAGAGGATAAAACTGTATAAGGGACTTCCACCTACCAAGTTGCATTTTCGTAAAACTAATTTTTTAACATTGCACACCCATTTCTTTTGTAATAAGGGATGTTTTCAAAAGTATTTTTACGAGAACTCTTTATCTTGCTCAGCTAAAACAACAATGAAGAATAAGCTGTCCCGAGTGGCTTAAGGAGCTCACAGCGGCCTCACCTGGGCTGAAACTGCTGAGCAGTCAGGAGTGAGTCACAGCTGTATGGGTGGGACCGTGTGGCCCCGGAAGCTGGGCCCTTCAGAGTGTGGGGCGTCCCCGGGTGCCAGGCCGGCTTCAGACACACCTCTGTCCAGGAAGCAGGCTTCTGGAGCTGAACCTGGAGCCAGGGGAGCCTTTTCGGGAGGCCAGTGGCAGGAGCTGTTCTCTGATATTGGGTGCCCTGCTGGCTGTCCCTCACCTGCACAGTCACGTCTGACCCAAGCCTCACGGGAAGGCCCGCCCTGCAGAAAGCCCCACGAGTTCCTGGGGACCCTGAGCTGGAAGGGGCGGGACGGTGTGCCTGGAAGAGCTCATACGCATGTTGCTATTCTTTGTGGGTCCAGAGGTGCTGCAAACAAACACAAGAACCACCAAAGAGCAGCCAGTCCAGTCTCCCACTGTGCAGGTACAAGCCCAAGGGCAGGACTTTACATTTCTGCCTTTACCAAGTGACTGTCAGCTAAAATTCTAGCCTGCCTACCTTCTCCGCTGTCAGAGCCAACCTCAACTGGTGCCACGAGCATGCTGCCATCAGAGGCTCCAGTGCTGCCCAAGTGGCAAAAGCCCTGGCTCACTGCTGCCAGTGCAGGGGACCCAGACATGAAAGACCCCGAAAGACCTAGTAGAAGCCTGGTGTGAGCGCCTCCTGCCACGAGGTGGCGCTCTCTCTCAGCGTATGACCCACACTCCCTTCTGGGTGCCTGCAACCTATTGCTGTTCCAGTTCCCCTCCGTAGGGCGCCTGAGGCCACCTCACCAGCGGATCAGTACTTGCTGTAGTCCTGGGGTCCCGCCCACAACCTTTAGACTTGCACACGCTTCTCTCCTGGGCACCTCTTGCCCAGGGTGATCTGACCCCTACCCCGGCCCGCGGTCTGCGGCCTCCTTCGTTCCCGGCCTGCCCTTGGTATCTGCTTGGTCCAGGCAGGTGCTGGAGACCCCAGCGCATGGGCTTGCCCCTGGGGGGCTCACTGAACAGTTCCATCGGGGGGCTCCCGCGGCACCCTATCACAAAACTGAGCAGTGCGCATGTCTGGCCCCTGCTGGCCTGAGAACCTATGACAGCCTCCTTCTGGAACCCCTGCTTTTTGCCCCTTGTCTTGCATGATACACATCTCTCTCTCTCTATGTCCCCTGCCCCAAATTCCCACCTTTCTCTGCTCATCCCCCCATGAGCCTCCTCTTTGCCTCCATCACTCTGCTCCCCCGTCTCCATCCTCTCGACGCTCAGTCTCGCGCACGCTCTCTGGGAGCTCGCACACACCGTGGCTTGCACAGACAGGCACTCTCAGCCCAGGCCGCGCTGCTGACCCCAAGCTCCGCAGGCAGCTCTGTGACGGTCTCACACAGACGTCCCACACTCAGCAGCCTGAGAGCCACAGCCGTCCTCGCCCATGCGTCCCCAGAGGTGAGGCAGGAGCCACCCATGCGCCACATGTCCTCCTCTCCTCCAAGCACCTAGTAGTTGCCGGGGCTGGCTCTCCTGCCGCAGTGCACCTCAGACCTGCCTCGTCTTCTCCCTTGTGGTGCGAACCCCCATCTGGTCTGAGCCCATGGTGGTTCTTGTCTTGATTACTGCAAACAGCTCCTCACTGGCACCTTGACTTCCTACGTGTCCCCCTCAGTGCGCTTTCTACCCTGTAGCCAGAGGGACTTCTGAAGGTCACCTCTGCAGGTCTCTTCCCAACTTAAACCTTTCAGTGGCTCTCTATTGCCTCAGGATGAAGTCCCGCCCCCTTAGCACCTAGAGCAAGACCCCCTGCCCACCTGCCACACCAGGACTGCAGGCACCGTCAACAGCCACAGCAGAGTGAATGGCTTTTAGCTCTGCCTCAGGCCATGCGTGTTCACGGCTTTCTGCCTCTGCTTTTGCCTCTTCGCTGTCAGGAGCCCAGCCCAGGCCGGCCACCACCCCCCTCCCCCGCCTCCGCAGGCCAGGCCCTCCTGTCATTTCCATCACACTGTCCCCTGGTCTGTCTCCCGACCACGTCTGAGCTCCTTGAGCTTGGGACTGTGGCTTCCCTCCTTGTCTTTGTGAGGCTGGGGGCCCATGATCCCCCAGAAGGGCAGAAACAGGAGCTGACCCTCTGAACACTATCCCCTGGCCCTTGTGGGCAGCCATGGGGCCCGGCAGCCAGGGAGAGCTGTCTTGGACCCAGAGGAAACCGACACATCTCTGGGTGGGTGGCCTTGCTGAGAAGGCCCCGCTGCAGCTTCCAAAGCCAGCGGGACGGGGTTCCGAGTTCCTCCCTGCCCCACTGCCGGTGCTCTCTCCGTCACGTAACCGGACCATTTGTCCTGGCCGGAAACTGGGGCGCAGTCATTGTAGAAAGCCAGGGAAACGGAGAAACTGCTGCGAAGCTTCAGGGATCAAATCCTGGCACATAGCTGTAACCTCCATTACCTTTCGTTAAATTTCCTGTCAGCCTTTTTAAAAAACATGCATCTATTTCCATCAAAGTCAGGATCATATACTGTAATCGTTTTACTACCACTGTAACATCCTTTTTTTTACGTATGATAATTTTACAACGTTCTTAAACAATTTTCAGGAAACGGTTTAGCAATTGCACAATATGCAGCCATATGACTGCGCCATGTTTTTTTGTTTTTGTTTTTTGTTTATACCAATCCTGTACCGTTGGATGTTTGTTTCTCATTTTTGCTATTAATCATAATCCCAGCAGATGGTCATGGAGGCCCCCCTCTGAGCCAGGGTTCTTGGCAAGGGCTTTCCTGGGGGCCCTCACGCTGGGCCTGCGAGGCAGGTGCTGTCACGGACCCCACTTTCAAGATGCGACGACAGGCTGGAGGGGTCAAGTAACAAGCTGACGGCTAGAGAGCCCGTCGTGTGGGGCCAGGGTGGGCCACACGGTGAATACCCTTCCGTGTAACTCTTCGTTTATTTTAAGATTAAACTCTAGGAGCTGTGACAGGCCATACGCATTTTTAAGCCAAGCAGTGCTTTACCGGGGAGACAGGCGCGGTTTAGGCGGTTAGCGGGGAATTTCCGGAGGGCACAGGAAAAACCAGAAGAGTTGACTACTGCTGTCGTTCTGGGCCCTGCAGTGCCTCCGAAGGCGCTGGTTCTCTGAGAGCTCCAGTCTCTCCCTTCCCCAGCACTGCACGGGGGCAGGGCACCAGCGAGTGCCAAGGGTCCCTGGTGCCCTTTGCAGACGCTTCTGTAGCCAGTGGCCTGCGGAGTGGCCATC